TTCACTTGCTCACGGGGCTACATGCGGAGGCCTCACATCTGGCTCTTCTAACCAGAGTCTGAGTTGGGTCTTAGTTGTGGCATGTGGGATCTTTCGTTGCAGCACACAGGTTTCTCTCTAACCGTGTCGCGTGGGCTCAGTAGTAGCAACGCCTGGGCTCTAGGGCTCTATAGCTGCCGCGCACGGACTTAGTTACCCCGTGGCATGTGGGATCTTAGTTCCCTGATCAGGGATCAAACCCGCGTCCCCTACATTGGAAGGCTGATTCTTAACCAGTGGACCACCAGGGAAGTCCCATTGGGTACTGTCTTGGAGTTTGAATTTTTTTTTTTTTTTGAGGCCTCACTTTTCCAATTTTAAAGAAACTGATATTGTCTATTTGGTGTTTTGTCTCCTAATTTTTTTTTAGAATGCCTCTTAAACGTATTTATTCTTTATGACATGTCAAAAGCTTCCCATGATGGCCATTGTTTTTTAAGTTTTAAAAGATTTTAAAAATTTTTTTGTTTAATTTTTCCATTTACCAAAGAAAATTCAAGAGTTAGGATTATGGTATAGCTTTGTATAAGAGGTAGAAATTCTTCCAGGAAGAAGTTTAGACTTTGTCACAGGCAAACCTGTGACACACCAAGAACAAGGCCAGCACAGTTGGTTAACGTATATGCTTGGTAACTGTATCTCACATTCTCCTTTACAAGAAGGACACCAGTCACTTTGGATTAGTGCCCACCCTAATGACCTTATTTTACTTTAATTACCTCTTTAAAGACCCTATCTCCAAATACAATCACTTTTTTTTTTACAATCACATTTTGAGGGGTCCTAATTGGGGGGCTAAGGAATTAGCATAGGAATTCAACATAGGAATTTGGGGAGCCTACACAATTCTGCCCATAACATATAGCGAGGTGTCAATGCAAATAATCAATAAACAATCTGTAACAGGAATAGAAAAAACAGAAAAATAGAAAAATCCAAACTGAGGATTATAGCTTGGGAAACACAAATTCAGGACACACTTGAACAGTGTTCCACTGGACCACAAAATGGGAGAGGCTTATATAGGCAAAAATTGAAAAGTTGCGTAAATTGTTAAGAATGAGGATTAGAGCTGGCATGAAGGGTGCTTGTTAAGCAAGGATTGATTGGGGTCCAAAATGGTTGCATGTTTACAAGGGGAGACCTTGAGGCCTTATGGTTGCATCTGGTAGCTGCTAGCTGATATTGTTTTGAAATTGGCCAGTGGTGTCCTTGAGTTTGATACAGTTCAGAAAATTTAGATTCTCAGTTGATGCAGGAATGTGTCTGAAACCACATTCACAATGGCCACCAGGCTCTACTTTGAATGCCTGAATCACATTTACTCCATTTTGATTTTAAAGGATCTTAAATATATCATCAGTGGGAAAGTTATGCTGGTCAGGCCCAGTCTCTCACAGCTGAGCAGATTGCTGGTCTTGCATGGGTTTGGGGCAGTGTGGAGATCAGAGTCTGGCAGACTTTCATAGCAATAAGGAATTGACATCATCTGAAGTATGACTACCTAGTTGACACTCTTGTTGCTTGGTTGGCACTCAGAGGTAAGTTTATTTGATTGAGTCCATCCCTGACAGGCTGACTTTCAGAAGCAAGAGTCTAACACTGATTGGATGGCTTACAAAAGTATATTCAGTGAGGTAGGTTTTCATTAGTTGATTGAATAGGTTTAATGGCTGGCAGAATAGCCAGTCTTTTCCTAAATTTTGGGGAATGTTATTCTCAACATAAAAAGTGACTTTCATATGTCCCACTTTTCTTCTAAAGTGGCTGAACATCTCTTAGCTCTAGACAAGGGAATTTGTGATACTTTCTGGCTGATTGACAAGTTTACACTCTGAATCCAAGTCAATGATATTTTGTTGGTCTACAGAGGAAAGAAGGTTGGAGTCATCCTGGTTCTTCAGATCACTAGTTGTGTGGCCTCAGACAAGCCACATGACTTCTCTGAGAGTCATTTTCTTCATCTGTAATTGTAAACAATAATAACTATCTGTGTTATTATAAGTATCAAGGGCATAACTTAAGGGGAACGCCTAGCACAGTATCCATGGTACCTACCAGTTCATGGTTCTCGTCCCTGGCTTATTAGACTCACCTGGAGACCTTTAAAAAATCCTGAGAATAGGAGTCTCCCCATCTGCCAGAGCTTCTGATTTAATTAGTGAGGGTTGATTCCAAGCAGGCGATTACAAAACTCCCAAGGTGGTTCTGATGGACAGCCTGATTTGAGAACCACTATTAACTGCTCCCAAAAGTGGTAATTCTCTCTCAATCCACTCTCTTCTATTTCTATTACTTTTCCTCCGAAGTTGATGCCCTTCCCAAACTTCAGAAATTTTTCTCCTATATGCCTGAGAGGGAAAAGTCCTCCCCATGCCATGTGTGTACTGATTTTGATAGGATGTCTATGGCTCTGATATTACTTTAAAGTGGCTATCCTCTTTTTTTTTCCAGTTGAGGTAAAATTGGTATATAACATTATATAGTTTCAGGTGTACAACATTTAATTTTATGTCTGTATACTCTGTAAAGTGACCACCCTCCAAAGTCTAGTTACCATCTGTCACCATACAATTGACCTCTTCACCCCTTTCCCTCAGTCCCTAACCTCTTTACCCTCTGGTAAACACCAATCTGTTCTCTGTATCTACGACTTTGTTTTTCTTTGTTTGTTTGTTTAAATTCCACATATGAGTGAAATCATATGGTATTTGTCTTTCTCTGTCAGACTTGACTTAGCATAATATCCTCAAGTTCCATCCATGCTGTCTCAAGTGGCAAGATTTCCTTTTTTTTTTTTTTAATGTCTGAGTGGTATTCTATTATATATACATACCACGTCTTTATCCATTCACCCATTGATGGACACTTAAGTTGTTTCCATATCTAGGATATTGTAAAAAATGCTGCAGTGAGCATAGGGGTGCATATGTCTTTTCAACTTAATGTTTTAGTGTTCTTCAGATAAATACCCAGAAGTGAAATAGCTGAATCACATGGTAGTTCTATTCTTAAATTTTTCAGGAATCTACATACCATTTTCCACAGTGGCTGCACCAATTTACATTCCAGCCAGTAGTGCACAAGGGTTTCCTTTTCTCTACATCCTCTCCAACACTTGTTGTTTCTTGTCTTTTTGATAATAGCCATTCTAACAGGTATGACGATTAGTGACGTTGAACATCTTTTCATGTGCCTGTTGGCTGTGTGTGTGTCTTCTTTGGAAAAATGTATATTCAGAACTTCTGCCCATTTTTTAATTAAGTTCCTTTTTGTTGTTGAGTCATATGAGTTCTTTATATATTTTGGATACTAACCCTTTGTCAAGTGTATGATTTGTAAATATCTTTTCCCATTCAGTAGGTTGCCTTTTCATTTTGATGATGGTTTCCTTCACTATGCAGAAGCTTTATAGTTTGATGTAATCCCATTTATTTATTTTTGCTTTTGTTTCTTTTGCTTTTGGAGTCAGATCCACCAAACATTGCTAAGACCAATGTCAATGCGTTTACCACCTTTGCTTTCTTCCAGGAATTTTACGGTTTCAGGTCTTAAAATCTTTAAGCCATTTTGAGTTAATTTTTGTGTACGGTGTAAGATAGTGGTCTAGTTTCATTCTTTTGCATGTGGCTGTCCAGTTTTCCCAACACAATTTGTCAAAGAGACTGTCTTCTCTCTGCTGTATCTTCTTGGCTCCTCTGTCATAAATTAAATGTCCATATATACGTGGGTTTATTTCTCGTCTCTCAGTTCTGTTCCACAGATCTGTGTGTCTGTTTTCTTATGTGAAGTGGCTATTCTTTTCTTGTCTGTGAAGTGATTATCCTCTTAATGCATGAAAGTACATGTTACATTGATCATGTGGATAAGAGAAGTGTCTTCAGATCGAAAACTGGAACTGAGGAGGCAGGTAGGGAGACTGGAAGGTAGAAATCTCCTTTCTTGTTCCAAACTGTAAAAGGACATCACACAGAAGTCTGCTTATAACATTTACAGGGTGAGAGGCAAGATGGAAATGAAGATACACATGCCATTTTTAGGTTCTTAATCAAGCTAACAAAGTATTATGTGAAATATGACCTATAATACTACTTTGACAAATATATTTTCATAGCAAAAAGTGTGTTAAACTAAGTTTTTTATATACGTGCTAGTCATCAAAATAATTAAAATAATTTATTGGGCAGTTGAAGGGCCAGTAATGTTTGGATAAGTAATGAAATAAAGACATACATAATTAACATTATATATTCCATAAAATGTATTTATCTTGCCTTTACTTCTACAAAATCATTAATTATGTTTTAATACTTGTATTAGTTCCTAGGGCTGCTGTAGCAAATTACCACAAACTCTGTGACTTAAAGCAACAGAAATTTATTCATTCACAGTTCTGAAGACCAAAAGTCCAAAATCAAGGTCTTGGCAGGGCTACTCTCCCTCTGAAGGCTCTAGGGGAGAATCCATTCCTTGTCGTTTCCAGCTTCTGGTGACTGCCAGCATTTGTTGGCTTGTAGATGCAGTACTCCAACCTCTGCCCCCATCTTCACATATCTTTGTGTGTGTGTGTGTGTGTGTGTGTGTGTGTGTGTGTAATCTCCCTCTGCCTGTCTCTAATATGGACACTGCTGATGGCACTTTGAACCCATTGGGATTATCCAGGATTATCACCTCATTTTTAAATCCTTAACCACAACTGCAAAGACTCTTTTTCCAAATAAGGTAACAAGGATTAAGACTTGATGTCTTTGGGGCTACTAGTCAGCTCACTATAATAATCAAGGGTTTCCTGCTTCTTTTTACATTAATCAACTAAAGGATTTAAAAACATGTATTTTTATTTAAAGTATATGAAGTTTAAATGTATCGTTGGCCTGAAACAAATAGACTGCCAGATACTTCTTCAGCAAAGATGGGTTTATCTAGGATCATCAGAGAATTGCAATTTGGGGCCTGCAACCATGGCAAGCCACGTGTAAGTACCCCCTTCTGGTCTCCCAACTGTTTAATTGAAACATCTGTTCGTTAATTTTTTACATTTCCCTCTATTGATCAAGGTCTTTCTCTGAAAGCATCCCTGATCAATAGTCAAGTTTTCTAGTTTCAGTGGCTTTTTGTTCCTCTATGTCAGGAAGGACCTTTCCGGAGCGTAATGTCTCATGTCAGAGGGAAAGTCGACAGATTGGAAACTGATTAAGGTCATATTCAAGTAACAAGGACAGGTAGGAGGGAGAACTCTCAGGCACTTTTTGTCTGAAGTCCGTATGGTATCAAGATCATAGACGTTGGAAATCATCTGAAGCATTACATCATCATCAAAGGTTTGGCAACAAAATTCTAACAGACCTAGTCCAGATATCTTGGGAAAGCTGTCTCATCAGATGTTGTTTGCTTCAAATCCAGGAAATCTTTACTTCAGGTCACCAGATGATATGTAGGTCCAGTCAGGTTTTGGCACTTTCTTTAGCTGTGTCATGTGAATCCAAGATCTGTTGATTGGGATTTGGGGGCACAAGGGTTGGTTAGCGATACTTGGTAGGGGCCTGTCCTGTGTGGTTGAAGAAAGTTCTTCTGAAAGTTTCCTTTCCAATAGATGAAATCTCTAGGTTGCAAGATGTGATGCTTAAGGTCTTTGTTTCCTGAGGGTTTGCTGAGAAAAGATTGCTCTACCAAAACAAGGTTATTTTTAATAGAAGCAATTAGCCCTTTGCAGTATTGGACTACCTTTCCTTTTATCCATTGTGGATCAAAAGAAGCAGAGGCCAGTTGCATTGGGCATCCTGTGACTATCCCAGTAGGTGAGAGTTCATGAGTTTCAAAAGCGGTGGGTCTGAGATTTAGAAGGACCAATGGCAATGCTTTTGCCCAGCGTATTTGGAGGACCTCTACAAATTTTGCCTACTGGGTCTTAATAATGCTGTAAGTGCGTTTGACTAAACCCGAGGTTTGAGCTTGGTGAGCACAGTGAAAGTGCTGTAAAACCAGCGAAGCAGCATAGACTGGTTGAAGCACATGGCCAGTAAAATGGGTTCCTCAATCACTGCGAAATTTGGGAGGAGTTTCCCAGGTAGGGGTAATCTTTTCCAAAAGGACTTCAGCCATAGAAGAGGCAGTAGCCTGTCTGCAAGGGAACGCTTCAGTCCAGTGTGAAAACATACAGACCACGACTAAAACACATTTATATTCACTAGACACAGGAAGTTGTATCAAATCCATTTGCCAGAGCTCGAGCAGTCCATTGGGCAGTTTAAAATGTCTGGGAGCAGTACCAACAGGCTTCCCTGGGTTGTACTTTGGACAAGTGGGACAAGTGAGGTAGGTGCTTTTGTGGCCTTGTTGATATTGTGGCCTTGTTAATAATCACCAGTATTGATTCATGCAGGCTACTATTTTGTCAGTAGACCAATGGTTTAATGCATGCAGCGTGGTGAGGAATGGGAATTTTAGAGTCTCCTGTAGGACTGGGTTGTTATTTGGTCCAAACCAGAGCTTTCTCTTTTTATCAAACCAACAACTGTTGAATTTCCAATCTTGTTTTTCCTTTTTTGAGGCTAATTGTTGAGCTCTCTAGCCAGTTTTTCTAAATTATCATTTGGGGAAATATCTCTTCGAACCATGACAGAGATTTGGCTGCTTTAAGGGCAGCATTCCTTGCAGCAATATTGGCAGGATGATTTTCCCCTAGCTTCCAGAGAGTCCAGTTTAGAATGCCCCAGTATCTTAAAAGTAGCTAAAGAGGCAAGTAAAAGTATTACATTAAATAATTCCTGAACATAGGGGCCATTTAAAATTTTATTTCCACTAGAAGTTAGGAAGCCACACTGCTTCCACAACATTCCAAAATCACAGGTACTCTAAAAGCATATCTACTATTGGTATAAATATTGGCAGTTTTGTCCTTGGCTAAAGTACAAGCCCATGTAAGAACATATAATTCAGCTTGCTGGGCTGAAGTAACCATAGGTAAAGATGCTGCCTCAACAACATCAAAAGGAGTTGTAGGGGCTTCCCTGGTGGCGCAGTGGTTGAGAGTCCGCCTGCCGATGCAGGGGACACGGGTTCGTGCCCCGGTCCGGGAAGATCCCACATGCCGCGGAGCGGCTGGGCCCGTGAGCCATGGCCGCTGAGCCTGCGCGTCTGGAGCCTGTGCTCCGCAACGGGAGAGGCCGCAACAGTGAGAGGCCCGCGTACAGCAAAAAAAAAAAAAAAAAAAAAAAAAAAAAAGAAAGAAAGACAGTGTTATAGAGGTCTAATTGACCTAGAATAAAGTGCACATACTTTAACTGTACAGGGTGATGTTTTTCCATATGTACATTTCCATGGAACCATCAGCACAATCAAGATAGTGAACACATCCATCAATCCTCAGTGTTCTTGTTCCTCTTTGTAACCTCTCCCTGCTTTCCTCTCCGCCTCCCCACCCCAAACAACCACTCATCTGCTTTCTGTCATTAGAGTTTAGTTTACATTTATATAAATGGAATCATATAAGATGTTCTCTTTTTTCTTCTGACTTATTTCACTCAGCGTAATTATTTTGATACTTGTGTATGTTGGGTGTATCTATAGTTCATTCTTTTTTATAGGGGAACAGTATTCAATTGTATGAATATACCACAATTTGTTTATTCATTTACCTGTGGATGGACATTTGTGTTGTTTCCAGTTTTTGGCTATTACTAAAAATGCTGCTATAAACATTTTCAGGGCTTCCCTGGTAGCGCAGTGGTTAAGAATCTGCCTGACAATACAGGGGACGCGGGTTTGAGCCTTGGTCCAGGAAGATCCCACATGCCACGGAGTAACTAAGCCTGTGTGCCACAACTACTGAGCCTGCGAGCCTAGAGCCCGTGCTCCGCAACAAGAGAAGCCACTGCAATGAGAAGCCCACGCATGGCAACAAATAGTAGCCTCCGCTCACTGTAACTAGAGAAAGCCCGTGCGCAGCAACGAGGACACAGTGCAGCCAAAAATAAATAAATAAATAAATATAAAACAAAAACTCCAAAAAAATTTGCAAACATTAAAAAATTATTATCATTATTAAACATGAGAGTTGTTAATGAATATGAAAAGGGATTGAAGGGTCATGAAATGCTGGTTACAATCCTGACTTCTCCATGCTAGTGAAGAATGTCTTGAGCTAGTAAAAAGATCCTGCCTCCCCTTTACTACCTGAAAGATATGAGATAGAATTGGTTAAAACACATAAATGTATCAAACCTGAAGCTACTTGGAGAAAGGTGTCATTTACAACACAATTTAAGGTTCTGTGTAAACATGGCATATTGAATGTCTGCATCTAATTTCTCTCCTTCAAAACCCATTAAAACTACGGTAAAGACAGCTCATGCAGCTCAATATCAAAAGAACAAACAACACAATCAAAAAATGGGCAGAAGATCTAAATAGACATTTCTCCAAAGAAGATGTACAGATGGCCAAAAAACACATGAAAAGATGCTCAACATCACTAATTATTAGAGAAATGCAGATCAAAACTACAATGAGATATCATCTCACACCAGTCAGAATGGCCATCATTAAAAAATCTAGAAACAATAAATGCTGGAGAGGGTGTGGAGAAAAGGGAACCTTCCTACACTGTTGGTGGGAATGTAAATTGGTACAGCTACTATGGAGAACAGTATGGAGGTTCCTTAAAAAACTAAAAATAGAGCTACCATATGATCCAGCAATCCCACTCTGCATATATCTGGAGAAAACCATAATTCGAAAGGATGCATGCACCCAGATGTTCATTGCAGCACTACTTACAATAGTCAGGACGTGGAAGCAACCTAAATGTCCATCGACAGAAGAATGCATAAAGAAGATGTGGTACATATATACAATGGAATATTATCAGCCATTAAAAGAAATGAAATAATGCCATTTGCAGTGACATGGATGGACCTAGACATTGTCACACCGAGTGAAATAAGTCAGAAAGAGAAAGACAAATATCGTATAGTATCAGTTATATGTGGAATCTAGAAAAATGGTGCAGATGAACTTATTTGCAAAGCAGAAATAGAGTCACAGATGTAGAAAACAAACTTATGGTTACCAAGGGGGGAAGGGAGGGGTGGAATGAATTGGGAGATTGGGATTGACATATATACACTACTATATGTAAAATAGATAACTAATGAGAACCTACTGTATAGCACAGGGAACTCTGCTCTGTGGTGACCTAAAAAGATTAGATATATGTATATGTATAACTGATTCACCTTGCTGTACAGCAGACACTAACACAACATTGTAAAGCAACTATACTCCAATAAAAATTAATTTAAAAAACTACGGTAAAGAAAAAAAATTAAGACATAACTCTCAAGGAAAGAGAAGATGAGAGGAGTTAACAGTGTTGGAAGCTAGGTAACTGATTTCACTGACCAAAGAAAGCCCAATCCTAAAAATGCAACAGAGAATGCTAAGGCCACCTTTTATCTACACTGAAGAATCCCCAAAAGACTCAGGAACTGGGAGCACTAGGTGCCTCTGGGACTGAAGATTATGGGGTGGGAGAAGGAGGGGCTAAAATGAGGAGGACTCCTGCACAGCTGAGTCAGTCGTTTGGAACGTGCATCCACTGCTTTCCCTCCACCACCCCTGCAGTGGTGTATATGGACCCTGTAGAGGGTCCCATATACAGACTGGGTCCTGAATGCTGAGACTCCTGGCTTTCTTGCTCCACTTGGCTTTGAAATTCTGGCAACCAGACACTATCCAGGTGGGAGATTTAAAGACTCTCCCTGAGAAATCTGACTAGCATAAGAAAAAGGACTTATAAATAGTGACATCTGGGTTCCCAACAGACCTTCCAGCCAAGGCACTCTACACTGATCCTAAAGTGGACATAGCTCACCTACCAACTCAGTTTCCACTCAGTATTTTCTTTTTAATTTATTTTATTTTTTTAAAGTTTTATTTATTTTAAAAATTTTTTTGATGTGGACCATTTTTAAAGTCTGTATTGCATTTGTTAAAATACTGCTTCTGTTTTATGGTTTTTTTTTTTTGGCCCCAAGGCTTTGGGGATTTTAGGTTCTTGCCCGGGATCAAACCTGCACTCCCGGCATTGAAAGGCGAAATCCTAACCACTGGACCTCCAGGGAAGTCTCAGTATTTTTTTTTTTAAATTGAGATGTTTTTTCTCCCATTTTTATTACCGGACTCTATTTTGTTTCAAGGGAGATTAATAGATTTAATGACTATCATTGTCTCGCAAATCACATTTAAAATAAACCTTGATACAGCAAAACTTAACATTGTAAATCAACTATGCTTCAATTAAAAAAACAAAACAAAACTTGAATTGTAGTGAGAGCTCCAAGTTCACCCTGTGGGTCAATGGGGCTCTCTACACACGAGTGAGGAACTTGGTGTAGTGGTTAATGTGTTTCTGCAACTGTTGATCTTTAACAACTGTTAAATAGTTCCACAGTGCTAGATTTTGTGCTTGAAAAAACAGATGATCGCACCGATCAAAAATGGTTCCCTGCACAAATACCTTTTCATTACTTCTCAGTGAGAAAACATTCTAGGGCATCTGCTCTTTTCTCACAGCCCAGGTCTGGCTTCTGTTGGCATCTGCTAGCAGCTGCTGAGCTAAGCCGAGCACCTCTTCCTTCCAAAGCCTAGAGGGGCTCTGGGTACTGAGGAAGAAAGTGAATTAAGAATTTGTAGGAGGTGCCGACTGTCCCCATGGCAGCTGCGCTGGAGCCCGGGGGGCCCGGGAAGGCGAAGGTAGAATTAGAAGATCATGTGACGTTCGAGTAGGAGGGTTTATCTTGGTGACTTTAGGATGCTGGTTCCATTGTAGGTATAATTATGCAAAGCTAAGAATCCAGGAAAGACTTGCCAGAGAAGGAATTAAAAACAAGATTTTATATGAAAGTACCCACCTTGATCCTGAAAGAAAACAAACCAACAGTGGCAGCAGCAGCAATTGAGCAGTCTTGAGCACAGAAAACCCAGACACAACTCACTTAGGTGTGGACAAAGCTGAGATCAACTATAGAAAGCATTTTATATACCATAAGGCTTTCAGTCAAGTAAATAAAGTATGTGTAAGTTGTAAAAAAAAAAAAAAAAAAGCATTACTTCGCTTCTCACCTTGGAACCGGTACTGGGCAAGGTTCTTCCAGAACTGCACTTGATTGTTCCATGAATCCCGTGTGGTCAGTGTCACCCTGCAGCTTTCTCCTGGATCGTGTACGGCAGGCGCACTCACGGTGGAGGCTTCAAGCTGACTGGGGCAGAGTCCTGTTCCACCAAGTCCGGCTCTCAGAGCTCCGTTTTGGCCTAGTAGTGCGGCTATGAAGATTAAAAGATGTGTGACTAAGGCGCCAGCTCTGGGCCGGCTGCAGGCACGCAGGGCTGGGAGGTTTCTCACAGTCTAGCCTCCAGAAGTTTCTCTGCACCAGTGGCTGGGCCAGATGTCCCACCTAATTATGATTTATGTAGTGGCAGCATCAAACCCAGATACTTTTCTTACACTTGAATACATTCAAGAATAAAGACCTCTGCTGACAGGGTTCTTTTTTTTTTTTTTACAGTATTTTTAAATTTTAATTTTAATTTATTTATTTTTGGCTGCGTTGGGTCTTCGTTGCTGCACGTAGGATTTCTCTAGTTGTGGTAAGCAGGGGCTACTCTTTGTTGAGGTGTGCAGGCTTCTCACTGCGGTTGCTTCTCTTGTTGCGGAGCACGGGCTCCAGGCGCAAAGGCTTCAGTAGTCTGGCACGTGGGCTCAGTAGTTGTGGCTCGCGGGCTCTAGAGCTCAGTAATTGAGGCGCGCGGGCTTCGTTGCTCCGCGGCATGTAGGATCTTTCCGGACCAGGGCTCAAACCCGTGCCCCCTGCATTGGCAGGCGGATTCTTAACCACTGTGGCGCCAGGGAAGCCCTGCTGACGGGGTTGTTAACCTGGGGTTCACAGACTCCACTTCAGAGGGTCTTTAACTCCCTGAAATGGTACCCCAGTGTTGGTGGTAAGGGTCCACGTGCTTTTGCGGGAAGGACTATGGCTTTCATCAGGTAGTCTGGAGGGTTCTGACCCAAACAGGTTTAGGAATCAAAGGCTTAGACCTTCCAAGTAAACCGCAGCTGGGCAAAATCGCGACTTTGAACTGCATTTCAACCTGCCTCCTCGGTGGGCGGTACAAGATGACTCCACGCCCTCCACTCCTTCGGCAGCACCCCTGGGGGCAGGGCTGAGGTCGGCCACGCCCTCCAAGCACCGCCCATTCCCCTGCTCGGGGTGGGGCATTCCTACTGGGCATGCTCAGTACCAAGGGCTCGGGTTGGCCTCCTAGGCGGAAGCGGGTCCCTGAGAGTTTGTGTGTTCTTCCCAGGGTTCTCCGCGCTACCGTTATGGTCGCCTCCTTGTGCCGGTGTCCGCGCATGGGATTCTAGGGCTGTGGATGTGCTTACAGGAACTGTCGCCACTACTCTTCGACGTCTTTGGACCCTCTTCCTTTCACTTTCTTTTGTTGACTCCTGTGTGACCCTCTTAGGACTCTGTTTTGGTTGCACCGATATCTGGGGTGATGTGGACCCCGGAGCTGGCCCTTCTGAGGGGCTTCCCCACTGAGGCTGAGCTGCAGCAGTGGAAGCAGGAGGGAGTCGCCTGTTCGGGTGAGAGGGGTGCACCTACCAAGGAGGGACTGAGGCCAGCGTGAGGACTGTGGGGAGAAGGGGTGGCGGCGGCTGGGTTCTCATCCCTTCTGGTTTTATTTTTTTCCTACCCGAATCTATCTGATTCTTAATGCTTTGGGTTGCTGCATCCTTGACATAGTGGGCGCGGTCCAAAGGCTCCGTGCATGTCTTTACCCCAAATTTCTCACCGTCCGGGTTCAATAATAATAATGTCAATTGTTTTTCTAATCCCGTAACATTTCTTCAGTCATTTAATGCTTAGAATAGACCTGTAAGGTAGACACTACTTTTATTCCCGTTTTGCAGATGGAGGCATTTAAGTACAGATTAAGTAATTTAGTCAAGGTCACACAGCTGGTAAGCACAACAGCTGAAATGAGGCAGCAAAGATGTAATCTTGTAAGTAAAGCACATTTACCGGAGAGAGAAAGAGTTAAAAGGCACATTTACTAGTGGGATATAGGCACATCTGATTGTGGGATTTAGGCTGGACCCAAAAGAGAAATAACAATGTAGGACAGTATATGTCCTGTCCTATATATTTGTGTGTGTATGTATGTGTGCGCGGTCCGTGTTTGTGTGTATATGCAATAGGTGCTTCAGGAGAGAGGTAGTTTCTGAAGTTTGGGTCTGGAAGTCTCATGGAACAAGTCAAACTTGACCTGATTCTTGTTTAAAGAGTAAGACTGACAAGTGGAAAAGTTCCCCAGGAGGAGTCACAAGTGTAAAAGTGTGGAGGCAGAATGTGCATATGGATATTAGGGGAACAATGAGTGAACCAGCTTTTCATCTGGGAGGACAGTGGGGGTAGGAGGAGCCAGATAGTGAAAGGAAACTTTGTAAGGAAACTTTTCTGTTGTCAGTAGGAATTCTTTTGAATTCCCAGCAGAATTCCTTTTGATGTTACTTGCTAATGAGGAATATTATTTCTGGGTCTAACTTCTGACATGCTGCTCATGGTATGAATGAACTTCTAATTCTAGGAGAAGTGATGGGCATTTGCTCAGTACTTTGTGGTTAATGTATAGGAAGCATTCTAAGTATATATATATATTTTTTTTTTGGCATGCTGAAATGATAATAGTGTTACCTTTATACGGTATGAAAGTAGTTGTTCTTTGGATTATTGGACTAATTTTTTTCTATTACAGAGAGTGGATCTTTCCTACAATTGCTGCTAGAAGGGAACTATGAGGCCATATTCTTAAATTCATTGACTCAAAGTATTTTAAATTCAGCAACGATGACTGAAGAAAAGATTGACAGCTACCTAGAGAAGCAGATAGTAACATTCCTGGATTACTCAACAGATTTGGACAAAACCAGAAGGTAGAGTTTTATTTGAAATTTTCGTAGGGAAACAGATTCTGAATACATTTAATATTGCCTTGACAGTGTAAGGCACTGATTTTTGCAGTTGTTGAAAAACCTGGCTTTATGTTTACTCAGGACTCATGATGTACCAAATAATCTATGTAAGAGTTTCTGTCCAGAGGACCATCGAGAATGAAAAGGTAAAGTCGTGTAGGATATACAGGTTTCATATATAACACTGACTTATGACTGGGTGGTAGCTGCTAACCCACTGAGTTTCTAAATGCTTAAGTCTCATAGGTTTTAGCCATAGACAAGACTTCAGACCTTCTTTTCTTTTAACTTGAAAGTGTACACTCTCCATCTTGCTGTTTGTAGATTGCTGAGTGATAATTATAACTACTTTTATTATGTTTTAGGTTATCTTTAATGTTTTTATTATGGAACCCTTGGTTTATCTTCTTCCATTGACGTTTATGTAATTTTATAGGATTAAATATAATGGGTAGTTACACAGCAGTGTAACCTAAGTTTTTCAGTGGCTTATATTTTACTGTTGTTAGTTTGTTAATATACCTTCCTTTTCTCTAGCATCTCTGGCAACCACATCAAGCTTTAGTTGTCTTTAAAACACAGTTTTGTTTTACCATTATTTCTAGGGAATGGCTTCATTTAGTTCTTCAACAAATCAACTCCTGGCTAGGTGTTGAGGTTGTGAAGATGAATAAAACATAATCTGTATCTATAAGGAGTTCACAAAAGAGTGCTACTACAGGCATTTTATTTAAAAAATTAGTGTCATTCATTTTTATTTTTCTGGTTTACTAGTAGTTTACATTCCTCTGATGTCGTTCCTGATTATTATTTTGCTGTCAGATGTGTGTGTGGTGTCATAGCCATTAGCTTTGTGTGGTGCACATGAAAACACACATATACACAAATACATCATACACTGGTAGACCAGAATTCGGCTTGTCACACAGAGCTGAGAAGAGACATTTCAGTTACCTCATTATGAGGTATTTGGAAATTGAACTCTATTCTCAATTCCCCTTAAGGATTTTGATTTTTAGTTATGACAGTTATATTAAGGCTTTGAGATCTTGCTGCACACCTGTTTCCTCAAGTGTCCTAACTTCTAATTACAAACGGCCTCTTTTGTCACCTGTTTTCTGCTCATTCTTTGCTGTCAGTTGTGCTGCATCCAGAGCACTCCAGCTACCACAGGCTTGTAGGCTTGATTTTTTTTTTTTTTTCCTTAAAGAATCTTCCTTTTGAGGTAGGGCGTAGGGGATATGGGAAGAAGAGGGTGACTGCTTTTATTTTTCCTTCAGTGTGAAGCTACAGGATTCTCTGGCTGCTATTCGTTAGAGTTGAATCCCCACCTGTTTGTGTCTTAATCTAGGGGTTGGCAAATTACTGCTGGTGGAGCAAGTCCAAAGTGCCTAAGAATGATGTTTACATTTTTAAAGGGTTGGAAAAAAAGAAACACGTGTGACCCACAAAGCTTAAACTTTTTTTTAAAATCTCTCCTTTGCAGTATAGGTTTACCTACCCACTCCTGTCTTCAGCCAAAGTAGGATTGAAAAGAAATGGGTTCAGGTGAAATTTCTAGGGTTTTTTTTTGTTGTTGTTCTAATAGTTGGTAGTACCGGATCAGTAAAATATTTGAAAACTTTTTGTTGTCAGCTTTCTTTTGTATAAAATCAGTTTCCATCCAGTGTCAGAGCTGTTAAATAGAACACAAGACAAAATTCTAAGTGCCCGATAGGGTCCTAAACCAGTGCTGTTCAGGAGAACTTCCTGTGATGATGGAGATGTTCTGTATCAGCGCCGTACAGTACGGTAGCCAGTAACCACGTTTGGCCATTGAGCACTTGAAATGTGGACAGTGCAACTGAATTTTAAATTTTATTTAATTGTAATTAATTTAAATTTAAAGCAGCCGTATGTGGCTCATGGTGATAATATTGGACATTGCAGATCTAAATTGTTTCAGAAATTTTTTTTTGTAATACTCTCAGATAATCTCAATAAATGTTGATATCTTACATTTTTCTTAATAAAACTGAAATGAAATAGTGTGTT